GGCGCTTTTGACGAATTCCATTTGCGAGTATTGCAGCCAAAGAAGTTGCGTCTGATACTGGCTCCGCAATACACAACTGATTCAGACCTTAACTCTGGCGTTGCCAGTACTTTCGCCCCTAGAAACCGACAATTGAAGAGGACAGGGAATATCAGCTCAGATATCAATCTTAATCTTCAAGATCGTTTGGCTAAAATGTCAAACCTCGACTTCGACTTGGGCCGAGGCCGGCTTTCCTACCTTGAAACTCCTGGGGGACAGGCAAAAACGATTTCGGTTACCGCTTTGTGTCCTGAAGATTCCATTACTCTTCGCGTTGAGTCTGTGAGCGCCTTCCTTTCATCACAAATCAACGCCAGGATCAGAGAGCAGGTACGCCAGAGAGCTACCGGGCTAAAGGTAAAGGAAGATCAATATGTCACCAGAAAGCGTCTGGCTTTTCAGATTATGCTGGAGCACGACATAATGAATGAAAATGTGACATATTTCAGCGATGAAACGGAACGTTCGTTGGTGGACGCCCCTGAAGATGAGCAATTTTATGGAATCCATGATAGTCGTGATGACGATGAGAATTATCAAGATGAGGATTTATCCTTATCAAAAAAATCTAGAGGCAAAAGAAATCATATTTTAGCTGCAAACTTACAAGAGGGATGTGTGAGTCTCTCATTCTTCTTTGCTCACCTAGAATTGTCTCTGTGAACCTGTCTTGAATTTTATCTATCATTTAATATTGGTCATGCTTTCTCTACTCATAAAATAGGCTTATAAAAGTAGTATAAGCGTTTTAATGATCATCAGGTTTCGGATCTAGAAATACTAATGCTAGTATATCATATAAATGAGATGTATTCACCAGATTTCGTTCAAGGTGGTGAAGGACTGCTAGTTGAATTTTCCCACAATGAGTTGAGTAGGCCTTACTTTTCATTTGATTACTCATAACTTTGCCTCTCAAATTATATTCTCATCCAGAGAGGAGTAAACTTAAGTTTTGACCTCACTGAGGCCTTATCAGCACCCTCAGCAGGACTTGAAATGGGATGGTGCAGCTTATAGTCTAGAAACTTTAATCACTAAGCCACACTGTTACGAGTTTCCTTGGGCCTCAGGGCGGATGTGAATTTTAAAACAAAGACTTTCTTCTATCACTTTTTATGGTTAAATTGCTGATAAAGCAAAGTTGTGTTTGATATTACAATTGGCTAAATTATCTTTTTCTAAACCTCCTTATAAAACGAAAACATTAGTTGAACCTTCTAGACTAAAGGATAAAATATGCAGCCCTCTAAAAAAATGCTTGCTACTTTGTTTCACCAGAATAAGGTTCATATAGTGGCCTCATTCCCCGTACCAAATGTAAGTGCAAAGTAGAGAGTCAAAGATTATATTTGCAACGGTTTCAATGAATAGAGGCAAAATTTTCCCATAATTTTATGCATAGGCCTTATGGTGCTAATAAATTTCACTTAGACTTAAAAGATGAATACGCTTCACAAAATCCACTTGTAGCGATACTCTCTTAGGCGTCATTATAGGAAACGAAAGCACAGAATTGTGTGAATAAGTGGATGGGCCATATGAATTGGGATTAAGAGAAAGAGATGCGGCACTAGAGAGTAGAACAAAGAGTAGGAGCGAGGAGTGACGTCACAACTGTTGAACAGAAAATTGATCAAGGAGATTGCCTTCACTTGTCACTTTGATAAGTTGTAACTATGTGCTCACGATGAAGCCTGTCACTAACGATGCCGACTATGGTTCAGGCAAAATGTTTGGGAATGTACCCAGCCAATGGTCTGATGCTGTAACTCATCATGAATACTATGACAGGATGCAGGGCTAGGTAGGTTATATAAGGTCTCCCTGTGGCTCCAACCAAATTGCGTAAACCAGATCAAGCTAACAATATACAGTTAAAGGAGACTGCGACTAAATAAAAGGCCGCATAATCTTGGACTTCATATCTTAACTTAGCCTTGTCTGTTACAAGAATTTCTCATCAAGTATGAATTGTAATTGCGAACTTGCCTAGAAATGTTTGGCATGCTCAACAGGACTCGAAATCGGATTGTGGACATTTTTGTAACTCGTACAACTTTGCTATGCTGCCACAGGTGCCAATTTGCTACAGAGCACATTTAACTACTAAAACCTGTAATTCCATTTCTGAACTCACCTTGCATTTAGCTCCTTGTCGGTTTCCATACTATTGGAAGATATTTAATAAGAACTTTAGTCACTCTAGGTGATAAACAGTTGATTATTCTAACAGTGCCTCACAATACAATTAAATTTTAGTTATCATTGCCTCAAAAAGGGCTCTTAGATGCAAAGTGGACTGGATTCTCAAGTTTGCCTGAGTCTCAGCAACATTCCGCAATCGGAATCGAACCCAGACTGCGGCTACACTTTATCACTATGCCACAGTCAAGGATATCTGTGAGTCACATGTCGCGGGCCGATTCCTTTCGAGGTTGCTAACTAGATTGAGTCGCAGTCGAAATTCTATCCATTCTAGAGGAGAATGCCTTTTTGAAAGCAAGGCTAAGGGAAGGGGAACAGCGTCCTATCCATGCTATCCTTATTATACTTAATAGCCTTCTGTGAACTTGAGTGACTTCAGTTCTTTTATATATCTTACTATTGCAATTTTCGATCAGAGAAGCTTAATTAGTATGTTTTATACATGTTCTAATGAGGCATTTCAGTACGCACCTTTTATACGATAATAAGTTAGGTTATGTACCAAAAAGCGTGTTTTTTTCATAAAACCAAATCTGAAAATTATTAAATATTAACTTTTCAATGAAAAATACTTCTGTGGCATTATTTTTCAGTAGAAGTCGTTATCCTTTCTAGATCTTTAACTATAACAATTCATTTTTCAATTAAGTATTGTTTTCGTGACTACCAGTAAATCAGTAATATGAGATGTATTCACCCAATTTCGTTTAAACAAAATTACTTAATTCGAAAAATGAAGTATAGTAGTCGATTGTTATAGCAGATATACGTTTGCTTCATCGACAATTCCACCAAAAGAATATGATATGGCAAAAGGCCTGGCTTGCCTTGAAAATTCACGTTTGCTCTGTGACCCAAAAGGCGCTCGTGGCAGTGCAGCCGAGTGGTTGACGTGTCAACCTCCCATCCTGCACTGTCGCGGTTCGACTCCCGTGAGAGTGTTGATAAGGCC